GCTACCGCTACCGCTACCGCCACCACCACTACCCACTACCACCACTACCCGCTACCACCACCACCACCACCATCACCACCACCACGCAACCACCGCCCCCACCACCACCACCACCACCACCACCACCGCCAGTACCACCACCATTGCCACCACCACCACGACTACTACTGCTTCTTCGACGACGACTACCACTACTACTGCTACGAACTACTACCACTGCGACCGCTACCACTGCTACTGCTACCACTTCCACTGCCACCACTGCCACCACTGCCACCACTGCCACTGCTACTGCTACACCACTGAGCACCACTACCACTGTGAGCACGACTACCAGTGACTACCACTATGGTTCAAATTTCGGAAACAGATCCTGCATGTGATAAGCACATTGCTGCAAAGCGTACTACAAGAGGTGCTGGAGCAAACTACGCAACCGTAGCATATTTGGAAACTGCACTGGCCGCTCCTGAATGCCGTTTCGCAGACCCTGTTGCCGAAAGTGCAGCGTTGCTGCATCCTGCTCAGAGCACGGAAAGGCAGTGTTTGTGTATGTGTCGCTCGACGCGCGTCCTGGCCGCACGATTCTGGACGCCAACCCAAAGGTCGTCCTGTGCCGTCCATGCCTTCGCCAGCCGGCGCCTGACACCAGCTGGTTCATCCAGAATTCCCGACTACCGCAGGGTGGGAAGTGCACAGGCCTGCAAAGCTCCATCACGTTCTGCTCTTTCCAGTAGAGCTTCGCCGGCTAAGGCAGCCATCACCAGAGATCCTGTTGGTTCGTTGCGCCGACTCTGACTCAAGTATCTCAAACGAACTAAACTGGACGTGGCCTCACTTTGAATGAAACCCGGAGCATGCAAAACGCTAAAATAACAAATGAGTGACGAGATGTCCTCTGGGCCGAGAAGAACCAACCACCTGCTGCCCTGCCATACGAGAGATGAGCGAAAATGTCAGTGCGGATCGACAGTGGCAGCTGTGCACCTTGCGAGTCGAGCGGCTCTTCGTCTGGCCTGCAATGCTGCAAGCCATACAATATGAGCTGCTATCAAGAAGATCTTATGGAGGCTGTTTGCTTCGAGATCGTAGCTGGCCTCTGCAAAGCCTTCTCGCGGTAAATGCATATCACATGAAAGCCGAGTAGCCGGGTGAAGTCGCCAGGACGACATGCCAGAACTGCTCCGACCTCCCGAAAATCTGACCACGAAAACCTCTGTGGCTATGCCTGTTTTATAGAAGCCTCGCTCTGCTGCCACTGAGCCAGTGCTCGGAGACTTTCCAGCTCGCGTCGCAGCTTCCGGTTCTCCAAAGTCTGTGCCGCCGCCTGACTCGCGGGATCGAGGCGGGCGGCGGGAGTGGAAAGGAAGCCGCACGCTAGGGAGCAGAACTCCGAGAGCGACCGGCCGACCTGTGCCGCCACTTCAGCGGAATCTGCCTCCGCCTCCTCCTTTGGCACATCGAAAGAATAGATTTCTCAGGAGCCCTGGACAGTCCATTGGACAGTCCAGCACTGTCCTCGGGCTCCAGGCGATCTGAACTAGCACTTGGAGGCGAAGCCATCTCCTACAGGTCGAAGCTTAAGATACTGTAGAACGTCACATCACAAAAACTCAACTAGATCGACTTGTTGCAGGCACTGGAGAAAAACGCCGGGTGGGCAGCTCAACGAAGATGGCCAACAACAGAGACACTGTTGATGGGTGATTCAGTTGCCAGTATGTCCATGAGCTGCTATAAACTGCTACGCTGCTGCTGCCGCCGCTGCCACCGCCGCGGCTGGCTGCTGCTACTGCTAGGGCCACTGCTACTGCTACTGCAACTGCAACTGCGCCCGTTACTACTACTACTACTACTAC